ATAGTGCCAGCACAGGCTCCTTATGCTGAAATCACGTGATCTTTCCATTCCCGGTGATATTTTCGGCGTGGCTCGTTTTCTATCATCAGATCCTTGCTCGTTAAAACAACTGTCAGTTCGTCTCCTCATGTCAGATAGATGGTAATGACCATCGCAATCTCGACTTTTGACAATAAATCTTTTACTCGATCCCATCGAGTCACAAACCCACAATGACCGTGAGATTAGATATGCCCAGCCGGGGGTGGCCTCATGGCGGCCTCTGAGTCGCTGGAGCCGTGGAGCTCCCCAGTGCTCAGGCTGATTGCGGAGAGGCCAAGTGGAGCAGCAACCACCATTTCTGATCTTGATTGCTGATAACGGCCGTCGCTTACACGACCGAATGGAGCAACGGAAAATGATAGCACGTCTCCCAGAGGCCTGACCACGGCCCTCATCGTCTCATGGAGGGCGATAAGGGACGGTGGTTTGCCCACGGCTCAACTGGGCGGGATGATCCTGGCCATTCCGAGACCACGGATCCTTCACAGTTCCTTATCATAAGTGCACTTGCAATCTTCCCCTGTTCCAACTGGAGATAGTGGTCGCATGTTACTGGCTGGTTGCAACTCAAGGTTACCTATCGGGGCTGTCATTGTGGATGGGTCACCACCAGGTTTATCAAGGTTGGGTTTATTGGGTCATGACGCAACATAATGTCTTATCTTATCCAAGGCATGGGGTGGTTAGTGTACCTGAGTTTATATTCATATGAATTTCTCTTGATGGCATGAAGTTGGTTGTGTTACTGGAGTGCGCGTGAATGGTATAGAGTCTTGCGTTGTGTACCTCATCATCTTTTTGTTTCTTGCCGAAAAGCACTGCAACCTTCATTGCAGTGCTACACACAGTATGGCCCAAATCAGGCGATGGGCTGAAAAGCTGAAGGTGCCATCAGAGCCCGGACTGAGCAATGCTCAGTTGATGTTAACAAATGAAGACTTGCGGCCAGGTGAGATTCGCATTGTGGCCGTCGGCTTATTCGATTACGCGACGGCGTTCTTGTCTTAAACCTGTTGAGATTTTCCCGCTCGAAATGAAGCTTACCGGTGTTCTTTCGTCTTGCAGTTGATCCTGACCGGCGTCAGTGGAAATGGTTCAATTTCATCGCTTTCTGGATTGCGGATTCGCTAAATATCGTAAGTTGCAAGCGCAGGAATTGCTGCAAGGCTTGAGGCAGGCTGATACTGATTCGGTATAGAACACTTGGATGATCTCCTCTTCGATGATTGTCGACGGTCTCTCATGGTGGCAGTCTTGGATCTGCGTTTGGGTCGGATACTTCATCGCAGCCGTCTTTATCTGTCTTACTGGTCGCATCGGTGCGAAATACCACGTTCCATTTCCTGTCGCTATACGATCTAGTTTCGGAATCTGGGGTTCATTTTGGCCGGTTCTGAACCGTGCCGTTATGGCTGTCATCTGGTACGGAGTGCAGTCATACATTGGAGGTGAGTTTGTTTGTCGTCGACCAGTAAGCTTCAGGATAGAGATTGATTGTTGACAGGACAATGTGTCACTGTGATGATCGAGGCCATCTGGCCTAGCTATGCCCATCTTCACAACTCCCTTCCTGCCAGCGCCGGCGTCGAGACCAAGGACTTCGTCAGCTTTTTCCTTTTCTGGCTCCTATCATTACCTGCTCTTTGGTTCCCCATCCATAAGATTAGACATCTGTTTACCGCCAAGGCGATTTACTCTCCTATTGCCGCCATAGTTTTCTTCGCTTGGTCGATTGCTCGCGCAAATGGTATTGGACCGGTTGTACATCAGCCCGCTACAGTCCACGGGAGCACTCTCGCCTGGGCGATCGTGAAGGCAATCATGAGCTGCCTAGGAAACTTCGCTGCTCTCATCATGAATGATCCCGACTTCTCGAGATTTGCGAGAAAGCCAAAGGATGCATTGTGGTCGCAACTGTTGACGATCCCCATTGGTTTCGGCATCACTTCGTTTATCGGCATCATCGCATCCTCAGCCTCCGCAGTCATCTACAACACTGTCCCTGTGTGGAATCCGCTTGACCTGCTAAGAATGTTCTTGGATGGAGCTAGCTCGGGTGAAAGATTCGGCATCTTTGTGATTGCCACTGGATTTGCCCTCGCACAGTTGGGAACAAACATTTCAGCCAACTCCGTCTCTGCTGGTACCGACTTGACTGCTTTGCTCCCGCGTTATCTCAACATCCGGCGTGGTAGCTATATCTGTGCTGCAGTTGGTTTGGCTATGTGTCCGGTATGCCCCTCTGGCTCATCTGCATTGGCTGCGTTAGGACAAGCACTGACATCTTGTAGTGGAACCTTGTGTCTTCGTCCAACCAGTTCACCACATATCTCTCGGCTTATTCCATCTTCCTGTCCGCCATTGCCGGTCCCATGATCTGTGACTACTATCTCAACCGCAAAGGCTACCTTCAGGTCAAAGATCTCTATAACGCCAGCAAGGGAGGGCCGTATTACTTCGTCTTCGGATTCTCCTGGCATGCGTATGCGTCGTATCTCTCCGGTATTCTTGTCAATATCGTCGGCTTTGCAGGCGCTGTTGGTCGTACCGTGCCCCTGGGAGCTCAGTATATTTACAACATCAATTACTTTTCGGGCTTCTTCGTCTCCGCCGTGATGTACTATATCCTCACCCGCATCTTTCCTTTGCCTGCATCCAGCGACAGATGGAACGAAGTGGACTCCGATGACGAGGTGTCCTATGGACAGGAAGTGGACTCGGATGACATGCACACGCCAGGGAAAGTGAGCTCGCTGGATAAGGACTCAGGTTCGGATCGGAAAGGAGCCAAGATTGCCTCGGGGGCAATGGTTTGATAGAATTCCTCTTCGCTATTTTAATGATATCCCATATTTAATGACGATCCACTCGTGATGACGACTTGTTTTGCAGGACTCAATAACGTATTCCGCGCGCGATCTAGCTCACAGAAATACCCCTGTCTTCCGCTCGTTAAGCCTCGCATTTGATATAATTCGGAATAGCCATTACACGTGGTGTATCTATTTCCATAGAATCCTATGCTCAACAAAGACTCGCAGTGTTTGCACGAAAGCCTTAGTGTACATCCTCCGTAAGTATTTACACACATTTCGCCTATTAAACTGGCTATATGATCATTTTACATATGAAGAGGTGAACTGTTTACCCCTAGGCATCAATAATCCTTTTCAATCTTAAGTGAGTCATAGTTAGCAACCATTGAGATGTTGTAGCGCTTGGGATGCTCTGCTAGCAATCGGCCTGAGGCACATAAACGCATCCAAGGGTCAATCTAGTCTAGATGTTTCTGGTAGCCTGGTCAGGCACCCCATAACAAATAGCTGTATTTATGACGTCGACTGCAGCCCAAATCCCATCTCCCACGTTCTGTCTTCATCTACCTGCATCTACACAATTCTTACATCAAGCTTGAACTCAAGAGTACATTGCTCTCAGACACGGCAATGATTGAGACAGACACTACAAAACTCCACCGCATTGGAGCTGGTTTCTGCGGAACAGTCTGGGCCACTGGGGCAACAGGACCAGCCTTGAAGAGAAAAGATGGAGGGCGTGACCGATCACTAAAGAATGACTTTGAGATGCATCAAAGAATTCTCAACAGTCTACAACAAGTGACAAATGTCAGCTTATCTGTCCGGATACTCTATTGCTACAAGTTCATCCAGTCGACTGACTCGAGCTGGTGGGCTGATAACCTCCTGCGTTTTCCTGAGGGATATTCACCTTGTAATGTCATTGAATCGCAGAGGATACCTCCGTTTCCCCAGCCAACCAGGGAGGTGCTGATCGCAACCTACTGCCCTAAGAGATTGCTGCAGAGATACTGCAGAGTGATGCTAATAAAGACTGCCTAATACGGTCTTACTTAGGTAGGAGAGGGACGCAGAACAACCAACCCGCACGGCCATCAAAGTTCAAGGCATTTTCTCTGCGAAACTATCCTTTGCATGCTGATCAAATCGAGGAGATTGGGATACCAGCGCAGCACATGATTCAATATGCGCAAGCAATGGCGGAAATCCTTGCCATAATGCACTGGATAGCGAAGATAGATGCCAACTACGTAGAATTTGTTCTGGCACCCCCTGACAAAGGACAGGAGGGGCAATGGGTGAATGTTCTTGGTGGGCATACCATGTGGGTACTCGGCTTTGATTTGTGCAGGAGCATGGCGATGAATGAGCATGGAGTTGAACAAGCTGCCAGGGGCTTTCTGGCGAAATGACCCATTCTACCCTCGACCAAGATGTGGCTGTTCGATTTGGCAGGCATTTCAGGAGCACTATCTGCAAGTCAGCAGACAGATAGCAGCCAGTGACCTCGAAGTTTCGCTCTCAAGGCTCTTCATAGAGAAGGTTGTAGAAGAAGGACAGCGGTTTTAGTGAATAACAACCTCACTTGTGTTGTGAATGTGATATTGTCTCGCTCTGGAAAATATGGGAAGCACCACCGGAGGTGCCATTAACTTGGGACGATAGCAAGGATTTGGACACCGTTACAATCGGAAAGCAGGTTGGTTGGCTAAATGCTCTTGAAGTAGCGTCCCTCCGTTGCGCCTCTTGGAACTGCTTTTTCGGGTCGTTTCTGTGGCAGTCGTTTCGACAGAAGTACTTGAGCACGAGCCGGCGGATTGTGGGAGATAGGCCGGGTGATCAGCGTCTTGAGGACCGCAGCAATTCGAGCGTGACATTCGGCGTCTGTTTTGCGACAACTCGGACTCCGGTATATGGTAACATTGAACTGCAGGATGACGGATGAGCGACAGGGGACAAAGGGATGCTATTAATGTATCCCAGTCGATGCACAGACCTGGTGGGGTTTCAAAGTGCTCTGATACATATAACTTACCAATTACAAACATTACTTATTCGTGACCTCGTCACCTCTTCTCATCCCGATGGCACCTCGGCAGTTATTTGTCTGTTGAGAGCACGTCGATTCCCAGAGACACCATGTCTTTGGCCATGATTCTGGTCGCACTCACGCTGGCAGCGTTCATAGCCCGTGTCGTTTATCGCTGCTACTTTCATCCTCTCGCTCGCTATCCTGGGCCTTGGTTTGCCCACATCTCTAATGCCTGGTTCGTTCACATCTGATCTTCAGCTTGAACGAAGATCTAGGGCTAACTCCATCAGGAGACTCGTTACATTCTTCAGTGGCCAGCATCACTTAATAGAACAGCGTCTACACGCTAGATACGGTCGTGTGGTACGAGTTGCACCCAACTGGCTATCATTCTCCAGCCTGGATGATTTCGAGGCCATCTATGGCTTCAACAAGGCCATCGAGAAGGACGAATTCTATGACTTTGGTCGCGACCGGGGCAGCCGGCCCGAAAGCATCTTCGCTGCAAAGACAGAGACCAGTCACCGAGTCAAGAAGAAGAAGGTGGTCAGTCCAGCTTTGACTAGTACCAGGATTGCTTCATACAAGCCTGTCATCGATAAGCACGTGGGGATTCTGCTGGCACGGCTGCAGTCACAGTCGAAGGGTCCACTGCTAGATGCAAAGAATGATGGTACTACTGCGGTGAATATGGCACCAATTGTGCATCAGTTCACGCTAGACACAATGCTTGAGCTGGTCTTCGGCCCTAGGCTATCGGCACACCCGTATACTGATACCCCTGCTGGCGAAGGGGTATGTTCAAATCTGCGCATCATGACCAAAATGGCCTGGAGTTTCTCACTTTGGCCGGCCTTTGGGTGGCTCATGAACACGCGTCCTGTTGATGCAATATTGCGCCGACCGACTTACAGCAAGCAAGGTGAACTCACCGGTATGGCGGGCCTCATGGGCGTAGCCATGCCGAGGCTCCTGAGGAACCCAAAACAAGTGATTGCGTCTTCCCAGCCCAGTATCGTCAAGGGCTGGCTAGAAGTCCCTACGGACGATGCGAATCGTATGACTTCAGCCGAAGTCGCGTCGGAGGCGTCCAACTTGATCATAGCAGGACCAGGAAGCACAGCGGCTGCTCTGACAGCAGTTATATTCTACCTGGGCACGAAAGACGGCCAAGCTTGGCAGGAAAGAATTCGAGAGCAAATTCGCGCTTCCCAGAGCCATGATTTAGGGCCATCGTCGCCGGAACTCCAGGCGGTGATTAAAGAAACGTTAAGACTAAGCGCCCCATTTCCGACTGCTTTCCCCCGAGTGATTAGACCTGGCGCTGAGATGGCCATACCTAGCCTCCGTGCTCCGCTGCCTGTCGGAACCACGGTCTCTGCGAATACATTTGTGCTCGGTCGATCGCGAGAACTCTGGGGCAATGACTCTGATGAATGGGAACCACGGCGCTGGCTGGGGAGTGAGCAACACCGTCGAGAGATGGAGACCAAATTTGTGGCATTCAGCAAAGGCTCGCGGAGCTGTATCGGACGTGAGTTGGCCTTGCTTGTTCTTGCGCAGGCAGTGATTGGGATCGTCCAGCAATGGAAATTCCGCAGTAGGGGCGAGTTGCGAGGCAACAGCTTCCTTGAGATGCAGTATGACGAGTGTTGGATTGAATTCGAGCGGCTTGACCTGTCGTTGAGCGAATGAAGCATAGTTCAGCTTGGTATCCTGGTAGCCTAAAAGCACACTTACATCCGTTGCTGCGTCTTATTCGTCAATAACAGACCATGAATCACAAATGCAGCCAAATATGACTCAAAACCTTGTCCGATTCATTGTCTGGCTGGAAAGAGTCGAACCAGCTGCTAGACATGCTGGGCTAATCTGTTTTGTGACCCCGACAAAGGCCGATCTGCGCCCAGATCCACGCACCACCATCTACTCCATCTCCACTGTTTATTACCTTAAGATTTTACTCTCGTCACACCAGACATAAATACTAATTCCATCATCTCTTCTTTTCTCGTCTTTCTGTCTCTATCTTACTCACTCTCTATCTCTAGACGCTGGCATCCTTAGGACGACGGTGTTGTGTTGTGTTCTGTTCTTCAAAGCCACACTCCTGGGTTCTCACGACTCACTATTCTTCATTGACTGTGAGGAGACCGAGGACAGTACATGAAATCTCTGAGACTGTATCGCTGAGGGACTGAAGATCTACCCATTCCATCGCCTCAGAATGGCATCCACCAGTGCCCTTCCTCAAACCCTCAAATCCATCACCGCCACCAAAATCAAAGAACTCTCGAAACAGCGCAAGCGCTTTGAAGAACGCAAGGACAAGATCTTCAAAGACGCGCGGGACGCCCCCGATCTGCGTTCTAGAGTCCAAGTCCTCCTCGAGGGAGTCACGAAGCTCAACGGTGATCCCAACGACGCCTTCGATAAGGAGGATCTCGACGCGGAGGATACTGAGGAGCAGACAGCCAGAGTCGCAGATTGCTCTGACCGCGCCACATACACCAACATTCGCCGCTTCCTCCTACAGAGTCAGTATGACCCTTCTGTTTCTGAGAGTAGCTTGAGAGACTGGATCGCGCAGCTAGAGGAGGAGCTGCGGTCGCTCGAGCTGAAGCATGAGCATGCCGCGTTCTACAGTGATCTGGTGACGGATTGGCTGGAGAATTTGGAGGCTGAGCAGGGCGCCAGCAAAGAGTTTGAGTCGGTGGGACGCGCGGAGATGCAAGAGCAGCGTGCGACATGGGAGTCATTGGTTTTCTCGACGACGGACGTAAATGCCGATGCGATCCGTGCGTACCTTGATGGTCTATTCAACACCACGCCCTTGACCCAGCAGGCGCTCAAGGAGCTCCGGGAGAGGATCAAGTCGTTTGGGACCGAATTCGCCGCGAAAAAGAAGTGGTTCAGCGTCGCCGACCTCAAGTGGGTCTCCGAGTCACTACTGAAGACTGACCTGCTCACCAAGGAGAAGATGGGTATCCTGAGGGAATTCATGCGCAACAAGGCAGTAGCCCAGGAGGTGGCAGATGTGTTAAATATGCGTCTGGCTGCGCTGGACAGCTGGAATTGGCCTGAGGAGGGGATACCAGTTGAGATGCGTCGTCAGCTCAACGGCAAGTACAGAGTGTTCATGGACGAGGATCTGCTGGACAGTCTTCTCTTCCAATATCTGGGACTCAAATGGTCGGTGGCGTTCAAGAAAGCATTCAAAGCTTTTTTCAAAACGCGCGCTTGGAAATCGCCGCGCCAGCAAATCTCTAAGGAAGAGCGGGAACGGCGCAGGTATTTTCTGGACTCGACGGTCCGCGGCGGCTGCGTGAATGACTACAGACGACAGATGTACGAGACGGACTACTTTATGACCCAGCTGCCGTCGTCCGTGGAAGCAGGTGTTCCAGAGTACAGTGATGAAGCGAGCAGCGACGATATCACCGACGGAGAAAAGCGCAAGAACCCCCTGGACACCAAGCACGCGCTGCTTCACCTCCTGATCACAGAGTCAATCATCCACACCACACAGTACGGCCAATTTACGGCCATCCGTTCCGATTTCAAGTGGTTTGGCCCGTCGCTGTCACACGCGACCGTTCTGGCGGTGTTGGAGTACTTCGGGGTTCCCCAGAACTGGCTCCATTTTTTCAAGGTTTTCCTCGAAGCGCCACTCAAATTCACGCAGGACGGAGAGAACGCCGCGGTGCAGGTTCGCAGGCGGGGAGCTCCCATAAGTCATACGCTATCGGACTGCTTTGGCGAGACGGTCCTCTTCTGCATGGACTACGCGGTGAACCAAAGCACGGAGGGCGCCTACTTGTACCGTCTGCATGACGACTTCTGGTTCTGGGGCCGCGAGCAGACCTGCGTCAAAGCTTGGGGCGCCATGACCAAGTTCGCCAAGGTCATGGGTCTTGAGTTCAACGAGGAAAAGACAGGAACAGTCCGACTGACAAAGCCAAACCCCCGTCAGGGCAGCGAAGTCCCAGCCGGATCAGAACATTCATCCTTGCTACCGACCGGGGACATCCGCTGGGGCTTTCTGAAGCTCGACCCGCAGGAAGGCCGCTTCATCATCGACCAGTCGCAGGTGGACAGCCACATTGCCGAACTCGGCCACCAGCTCGCCTCGTGCAAGAGCATCTTCGCCTGGGTACAAGCCTGGAACAGCTACTTTGCGCGATTCTTCACAAACAACTTCGGCAAACCCGCCATGTGCTTTGGCCGGAGCCACATCGACATGGCCATCTCGACGCTCAGCCGCATCGAGCGGATCCTGTTCCCCGACGGCGTCACCGCACACCTGCGACAGATGATCGCGGACAGGTTCGGCGTCCGCGATCTTCCCGACGGCTTCTTCTACTTCCCCATCGAGCTTGGTGGCCTGCAGCTGCTGAATCCGTACATTCCGCTTCTGGCAATGCGTGGGGACATCAAGCAGACGCCGCAGCGCCGGCTCCAGAAAGCGTTCCTGGAGGACGAGGATGCCTGGCATGCGGCCAAGGAGCGGTTCGAGAAGGACGGGCCCTGCAGCTCGGCGCAGATTGACTTCGACGATGATGACAGCCCGGCCACGTTCATGTCGCTGGACGAGTTCATGCGATATCCAGAGTCTTACAGCCGGGCTTTGCTGCAGGCGTATAAGGATCTGATCCGCATCCCAGAGGAGGTCAGCGTCAGCCAGACGGCCGGGTTTCGGAGTAGCGTCATGTCGCTGAGGAGGACGGGGTCGGGCGACGGTCGGGGAATCACAGATTCGTGGTTGACGATGACACCGTACTGGCGCTGGACGGCCGAGGTGTATCACGAGGAGATGGTCAAGAAGTTCGGAGGTCTGGCGGCTGTCAACAGGGAGTTCATGCCTTTGGGGGTTGTCGAGACGCTGAGAGAGGGCAAGTTCAGATGGCAAGGTTGATGTTGATGTAATATATAATAATTTGATACCTATTTGATTTTTGACAAACGTTCCATAGTCATATCTCATGAATCGTTCATATCATTCATACCATTCATATCAAAGCCATAACCCAATTAGAGTAATCCCTTTACGATGTATACGTATCCTCGAAATCCAGCAAAAGCCCCCTCATCCGCTCCTTCTCAGCCTGCCCTCCAAAAATCACATCCACCGACTCGCGACACAACGCAAGCAGCTCCGCCCTGCCCAGATCAAAGTGCTCCGCCGCCAGGAGATACTCATTCGAGACAGGGCTACAGAAGAAGCCCATATCATCCGTCTGTATCTCAACCCGTCAGCACCTAACCTTCACCAAAGAACATGGCGTAGAAAAAAGAGCGAAGAAACATACACACAACACAACCGGACAATCCACATGCCTCCAATACCCGAAATGATGCGCGGGGAACCCCCCATCGATCATCTCCGCATGCACATTACACGACATGCACAGCTCGAGCCCCAGGCGCCGGCGCGCAATCTCGCGCTTGAAGTCCTCCGGCACATGGATGACATGGCCCAGACGGTCCGGCCGGAACGATAACAGCGTGCTTAGCTCCCGCTCCGAGCCGGAGGCCTGCGTCTCGGCGAAGTGCACGGTGATGCCTAGGCCGTGGGCCTTGGCTTTGGCGAGGGCGGGGCCGTAGAGCGCGACGTCGCCTTTCGTGGGGTTGCCGCAGATATCGACGCCGACGACGCGGGGGCGGTGCGCGATGGCCAGGTCGATGATGGAGAGGGCGTCGGCGGCGGTGTTGTTGCCGCGGTCGATGGCGAGGATGAGGTAGACTGAGATTTGGGGGGAGTGAACTGACAAAAAAGTTTCGATGGTGGTGAGGACGGTGGTGAGGTATTCTGTTCGGGTGAAGGCGAGGGTGGGCGAGGCGCGGGGGATGGTGCGGAGTTCGAGGTAGCGGACGCCGTCGGCGAGGAAGTTCTGTAGGACGGAGTGGGTGGCGTAGGCGAGGCTGTCGAGGTCGTTGCAGAGTTGGTAGATGGATTTGGAGAAGACGGAAAAGAAACTATGCATCTTAGTGGGTGGTTCTTGTTCTTCAGGTTGTCAGGTGTTTGGAGTACGTCTGCAGAGAGTAATCGACTTTTCCTGGTGGCATGACTACCAGGGGATCTTCGACATCAAAGTCGGGATTTTGGGCTTTCTTCTTCAGCCAGATCTCATGAAGACATTGGCGGCTGATGCTGCCGCTCAGATGAGCGTGGACCTGGAACTCGTTAGACTCTGACAGATGTGTTGAGGAAGTTACTACAATACCTCGACCTTGGGTAGCGCCTTGGTGAACGCGACATCTACGGGCTTTGAAACGTCCATTATATTGCTTGTTATCCTTCTGTGTTATCTCCAGTCGCTACGGACGAGGAAGCTGGGTGGTACAAGATGAAGCTACAAGGGAGTTGCTGTGGCGAAGGTGGCGGTGACTGACTCCTCACAAGTTCTGCAGGAATATCTGCACAGTGAGGATGAACAACATTTTTGTCTCTACTTTTGTAGTATGGGTACGAGATAATTTCCATGCTCTCGGGACTATTCAACACTCACCACTACTGCTAGTAATAGTCAAGCCTCTGAACTACTTGGAATACTACCTTATAAAAGTATGTCGGGATATTCCTGAAAATCTACGCATCGAGGTTCTCGTATCACTCTACTCAGCCAAGAGTCTCCTATCTGGAGAGGAACGAAGCATTCAAAGGTCAGATAATTGGAATATCATTAGCAGTGGTAATATGGAAGACAAAGCGCTACTTTGCTATGTGAACTACAGTCGACTCGTCATCGTCTACAAGAATATAGTCCCGAACTCTTTCCGACGCATGATTCCCTTTGCCCTCATATTCCATCGTTAGTATCCATAGTGCCGCGAAATTCAAGAGAGACCGTGAAGCACGCGTAGAGCCTTCTCTGCGGTCAATTCCGTGGACCTGAAGCGACCATTGGCTTCAACTCGGCCGATAAAGACGGAACGCGTATGTTCTTGCGTCGCCTAAATGATAAGGTACGTGGCCAGGCCAAATGTTCGAAAACCATATTGCCTGACAGCTGAATGTGTGGCAGCCTTGAAGTATGAATATGATAATTATCCACTTTCATCCCGCACATAACCATGGTGTATTTCTCAAACTGGTGCCGCCTTGTGGGGTTGCATCAAAGTCAATTGGGCGAATCCAGTCAAACAATAGGCACCTCGGTAGCTCACGCTGGACAATACCTGCTACTGTCTCAGCATGTCAAGGGGAGTATGGCTATCTGCCGTCCCAGATGGTCAACTTCCCTGTCATTAAGAGGGGTCTCTATGTCACACTTGTTTCTAGAAAGCAGGACCCTTGCGCATGTGAGGACCTTCCTCAGCGAGGAGCTGAATCAGCGTAAATCCTGGTAGAGTCAGATGACGTTCGGATGCAGTAAATGGCAAGCCAGCAGACTAATGCGAGGACTGGCTAATCCTGTCGATATTAATGACAACGATGGAATCACGGAATCTCCGAACCCGCCAGTACCTGTTTCGGTTAAATTGACCGCGGAGATTCAGACGATGGCTCAAATAAAAAGTGGAGAAGGAAGGGTAAAGGAACATGGCAGAGTGCGGAAGCCGGAAGGTCATGGAAGAAGGTTCGAAAGAAATGAAACCTTGATCAAGTGAAGCCTTGCTCTTCTAGCTGACACCAGGCTACAAGTCTTAGCCGCCTGTCGTATGTATGCATCTGTGGACTTGCACAAGGGCGTCTTGTATACTCTGTTCTGGATATCACTAAACAACCAGTGCGCCCATGCCACGACAGGGAACATGGTGGGGGCACGGGGGCATGGGGGCACCGTAGCACGAGCAGAAGTTTCACAATCCCTCTTCCTATCGGCCGCATAAGCTCATGCGTTTGGCGAGAGAGTCATTGCTATGCAGATTGTTTCGGCGTCGGATGCACCAAGTCCAGCACTGAAATTCGAGGAAATGGTTCCCCATTGGGTTTTCTTGGCTCTCGCTAAGCACGTTTCTGAAAAGCCTAGGATCTTTAGTAGTATTGGCGCTTTAGAAAGGCGGGGTCGCCAACTGTCATTCTTCGTGTCTCAGATTCTCTTCCCGTTTGGAGTATGGACGAGACATTGCTTCAGGGATTGTTGCTGAGGAGACGGTACAAATCTGGCAGCCTTCCAGGTTGCAATATGCACTGCCCCAGGTCGTCAAGCGAGCCGAATGAGGCTTGCGATTTCTCCACCAATTCCTCGAGGATGTCGAAGGATTCTAGAAGGAAACGCGCCTAGGAGTCTAGGACAAAAATGATTGGATAAATAATTTCAGATCCCAAGCAAGTGAGGCTATTTTTAGCCAAAGATCTGGTGTGGAGAGGTGGATTTTAACGGTACAAATAAAAACAAGAGATTTTCTGTCGCGTGCTTAAAATCAGTAGTTTAATTGGCAATGTGTCACTTGGTCAGTCAATAGTGCTTCTCATAGCCAGCATTTGGCCCCTTACTACTCCGTAGGTCCGCCATGGAGGCAGTATTGAACTCCTGATCGTATCGAGCCCAAAATTCAAGTTGTATCGAGGGAAGCAACTGATAATTTCGACCTAACGATTTGTGCGTCGGACAGAGCTGAGCTCGGGAGTGGCGCCCTGTTGCCGGGGCGGACCGAAACTAACAAGAGAACAACATCTGAGTACGGACTGCGAGACGATGGAAATAGTGAAAACTCTTGAGTGAACCGCTAGAAGTCTCGATTACCAGTATTGACTGAGAGAAGTCGTGACTGATCATTGATAATGCGGCTAGAACCACTGATGGCTGGTCCGCGAAGCATGCCAGTATCATCAGACTATCAGGCACTCAAAATCAAGTCTTCAAGAGACGGAAATACTGAAACAGGCTGAGAAAGAGACTGAGATCAGATGGTGGATCTCAATTATCTCGATCAAACACTGCCGGCGGGTATCCCAGCAATAAGACAATGGGGTCTATCCCTCACTTGCGTGTCTCAAGTGCCTGGATGGATAAACAAATCAAACATCGAGAGTCCGCTCCCTGTAAGGTATAATAATATTGTCATTAGTTAGTTTCTATAAATATCAATCACACATCGATAAGTGACGAGCCTCAGATGTCCTTGACGGAGCTGCATTGCTAGCGGTGAGCAAGAATCCAATAGTAAGCTCAACAGCACATAGAGAGTGTGCGCTTTCGAGAAGACAGGCGACATGCACCTTAGTCGCTAGTCACCGCACCATGAGAGACAGCCACAGGAATTCCGCAGAGCTCTGGAAAAAGGAAAGAGAGGAACAGCCTGTATTGGGAATTGTGGTCACAAGACTCGACAGAAGATAGAGGGAGAAAGGCTTCGCTCATGCAGGTGATAGCCCGGTAGCTACTATTTATTGTTGAGAGTACTCCGTACCTATATCGGTATGCGTTAACACCCACAAATCGATGACTATTGAACTGTTCGCCAGCCAGAGCACGTTGGTGGTTGAGTGGTGGCTGGCTGGCTGGCTAGGGAGGGGAATGTTAGAATGAGGACTGCAGTGCAACTCATCAGTCCAAGGCACAAGCCACGACGAAGATGACCGTGCTGACGCTTTGAGGCGCGTGCTCTGTACAAGGGACCGGATGATTTGTAGGGATGACTATAGGTGTTGCATTGCAGTATCGAAAAACGCATCGAACGATCGAAGCGGCTGAAGGTGACATTCATGCCTAAGGCAGGAGGCTTGCATACCATTCAGCTCCTCCTTCTGAGTTATCATTATTGGGCATAAGTACAAGTGCTATCAGCAGGGTTAGACTAATGATGAAAGAACCTCAATTTTAATTAATACTATTGCCATCATTTTATGAATTATGAGAGCCAGGATGATACTAATACTGGCTGCATCTAACTCCCTCTGGAACGGGAGACGCCCAGGCTAAATGGCCAACGCACAGGAAAATATACCCATCCAACCCCGGTCCAAGA